TGTGTAGGTAACAATCTGTAAATTAACAATATTTTTTAAACAATTGATGTCTAAAGGAGGCAGAAGATACAGCTGAAACAAAAAGACAACATCGAAGATATAAACTCGAGCTGGGGGAAAATTAAAACAACATTGAAGAAGCAGCAACAGAATCTCTAGAAAAACGCAAAGTCATATTAAACAAAAGAAACAACAATCTCCTACGTTTTCTAATACCCAGTTGCCACTCCTGTCGATTCATCCATGTCTTCTTCTATGTATCTGTCTTTCATTTCACATTTATCCCTTCTGCCTTTTTTGTATATATTGTGAATATAAATGATGTCTTCCACTCCTCTGGGGTTGTCATACCATTGATGCAGTTTTGGAACAGTTTGGCTAAACTTGTATATAGTTTGGTTGTACCGTATTTAATTAACTCTGCAGGGATGTTACCTAGACCCGGTTCTTTGGTATTTTTTAGAGATCTATACATCTTCTACTTCTTTCGTTGTTATTGGTATTGTCAAAGTAAAAATTGTAGTCTATCTTCTTTTAAGAGTTTTTCAAAATATTGGTCCAAATCATCCATTGTTATTGTTAACTCTATGTCTCTCTTATTATCTTGTTATAAAAATTTTAAGACTCTCTAACTTTCTGTACTGCTTCGTCCTCCTAGATGTTAATTTATCATGTTACACATTTGGTACCATGCTTTATTTTTCTTCCAATATATCATTTTTCGTACTTTGGCTTGAGACTCCTTATAGATTATTTTACACCATGGTTCAGAAAAGAAATAAAAGAAAAATGTATAGAGAAACGAGAGAGACAGCTGGAGAAGAATACAAAATAAAACAAAGCAGTTGGTAAGAAGAACACAAAGTGAACACTGGGAACAGTTTACAGAAAGGATGGAAAGCGACAAATGCATGGAAAAACAGCATAATGATACAAATGTTCAAGAAAGGAGATAAACAACAAATACGGAGGTATAAATATACTGAATACCGCACTTAAGCTTACCTCAAAAGTCCTAACAAACAAAATCAATAAATAACAACTTTATTAGATGAACAATAAGGATTCAAATCCGGAACATCCTGCGTAGACGCCGTATTTGTACTAACACAAATCACAAAAAGGCCATCGTGTACCAGCATATCTATGTTTTATACACCTGACAAGTCTTTCGATCACATCCAAGTCGAAGACGTCTTCTACTGTATAAAAGAAACATACCAATTAATATTATACAAACCATCGAAAACATCTACTTACATAATCGAAGACAGGCAAAGATAAATGGAAAACTAACACAGTGTATACCAGTACAAAGCGGAGTCAGACAGGGTGACTAGTTAAGCCCACTTCTCTTTAATATACTAATGAATGAAATAATACCAGCAGTATGTAAAAGTCATTGTTACAGAATGGGGAACAAATAAATCCAAATAATATGTTATGCAGACGACGTCGCATTAATCGCCGAGACAGAAGACAAGCTTCAAAGATTAACACATATCTTCAATACAACAGTCAAGAAATACAATATGATAATATCAGTAGAAAAAATTAAATTCCACAACGAATTCTGTTTCTGTAGTTGGCTGTATACCATATATCAAAAAAATTTTAATAAAAATCACGAAACGTTTTCGGAATCCATATTCCATCATCAGTATCTAGGTATACATGTATGTAGTCACTAAATATGTGGGTAAAAACCCGTTAAAAAGTGTTTGGTTAAATTTATTTTACATTATGTGTTATTAATTATTATGATGTTAAAGTTGCCAGTAGATTTGGTAACATGGCGACATATGACTCCACGTGAAGTTGCTAGTCCTGAGACAGGTGTGACTACAAGGACTTGATGAAAGTCAATGATGAAACATAGTTCAAACTATCCTGTATTGCTGAATGGAGATCTTCAGTTTTTAGTATTGTAATTGATTGACAATCAACGGGGAAGTTTCCGACGGAAGTAGTGTACCGGCATCATTTAATTAACTTTGTATCGAGACCTGAAGATGCTTTGCATATTGTAGAAGACGAAACCGGTCGTCTAGATAGTTAAATTAAACTGATTGTGAGTAAGTCTTATTTATTATTTATTTTACCTATTTATCAGTTCTGTAACTTTGTTGTATCTTTTTTAAGTTGGAATTTTGCTACAAGAGGATTGTGCTCCGACGCCACGTCTGTACCTGGGTACACTTTCACCGATTATATTGCGTTTTAGTATCTGTGATTTATTAAAATATATTCAATTTGGTTTCTAACGATTTTATCGACCTTGTCAGCTGGCGATTTCCACCTGTAAAGGCGTCGTTTAGGTAGTTTGTAGAAAGTATTCATTACCGCAAGATTATGTTCTAGGCAGAATTATATAAAGCGCTCTCCTCTCTCATTTTGAAAACCGAGTCCGTATGGTCCTACAGTAGACTAACATCTTCCTTCTCCAACTTTGGCGTTAAACTCACCCATGACTACTATTATATCTCTAGATTTGTATTTTGTAGGGTTTTTTGAAGGTCATCGTAAAATTTTTCAATTTCTTCCTCTGTTTTATTGGCGGTTGGCGCATAAATCTCATTAAGGTTTAATTTCCCATGTGTTATCATCTGTATTAGCATAATTCTTTCCGATATTGGTAAAAAACCTACAACTGATTTTGCAACCTTTTTACTGACATTAATTGCTACCCCATACCGATGTTGTCTGTCCGTACTATACTAGAGTAGTCGACCATTGGTTGTACTAAGTTTGACGGAGTCGAGCCATCTTGTGTTACTTATTCCCAATATGTCGATCTTAAGTCTTATCATTTTTTGTTTACCAAGTTTACCAAGCTCGTACATACTTCTAACATTCCATGCCGCTATTTTAAAAGTTGAATTTTCTACTTTTAGTACGCAGAGATTTCGTTGGTTAACGACTTGAGGAGTCCTGTCATCATTGTTATTTCTCCCCCTGTAGAATCTTGGATATCCGAGAACTATGATTAGTACTTGTCATTAACTGCCATGACGATTTGTAGAGTACTCTACAAGTATTTAAAGTATTTGACTTGATTCTGTATCAACCCTAAAATCGAGGATTTTCACTTAAGCTATTCGCACCGTACCGAAGTTTTGCTTATCCGCCGTGGCTACCATAATGGACTTCATCCGTAACTCTCAAGGGACGAGGGACACTAAACAGGTACTAGTTTCCCAGGTCAGGAAACCCCCGGAATCTGAGGAGGGCAGGGACTGATTCATTTTCCCTCAAACGACTATCTTCAAGAATTTAAAGAGTTCTTAAATGCTTTTTTTATTATTATATTGTTTTCTAATTATTAAAATAAACAGTAATTATTACACCATTATTAAATTTATGTTTTCATTTTTATTTCATATTTTCTAAAAAAAAATGCATACTTAATGCATATTTTCTAAAAAAATTCATATTTAATGCATATCTTTTAGAAAATATGGGTTCTCTCTCTTCAATCCTGACCCCCCAGGGGGAGTGTAGTGGTCGACGTGATGTCGTGTATTGTCCGTCTCCAGAGATCTGTCTCTGGTCATTTCTTTTAATTCATGCATAGGTCTTTGGCATATTCCTGTAATTTGATCTATCCATCTTGTTGGGGATCTTCCTCGTGATCTTCGGCCTTCTACCTTTCCTTGTATTATGAGTCTTTCCATGTTTTCTGTGTTTGCTCTCATAACATGCCCAAAATATTTTAATTGTTGGAGATGGACTTTACTAGAGAGTCGTTGGCTAACTTTTAGCTCTCTTAAAATTGAATTATTTGTTCTACGGTCGGTCCAAGGAATTTGTAACATTCGTCTCCAACAGAACATTTCAGTGGCGTCTATCTTTTTTCTCTCCGATTGTCTCAGAGTCCAAGATTCACATCCGTAGGTCAGTATTGGGAATATTAAGCAGTTGATCAACCTCATCTTTATCGCTCTTGAAATTTGACAGTCCTTCCATATTTTGGTCATTTTTGCTGTGGCAACTTTTGCTAGATCAGATCTACGTTTAATCTCTTCTTGTAATGACCCTGTGTTTGTGATTAATGATCCCAGATATAAGTATGAGCTCACAACCTCGAACCGGTCAATTGTGGTTATGTGTGGATGATTATTGTGTAGTCTATCCACTATCATGATCTTTGTCTTTGATATGTTTAATTGCAGACCAAATATTTGACTTTTGTTTTCGATCAGTCGTATAAGTTCTATCAGCTCTGCTTGACTATTTGCAAGAAGGGCTGTGTCATCTGCGAAACGTAGGTTGTTTAGTTTATGACCATTTATTGAGATGCCCTTTTCCCATCCTTCAAGTGCTCTTCGCATAATATACTCCCCATATATGTTGAATAATTGTGGAGATAGTATACATCCTTGTCTGACACGCCGTTCTGGATGAAATTCGTTCGAAAGTGTGTCAAGTACTTTAACTGATCCAGTAGTGTGTTCATATAGTTCGGTTATAAGCGTAATTAGACGTATAATAATATGTAATTAGACGTATATAATATAAACGCTTTACGGTAATCTATAAAACATATGTATAGTGGGATGTTGAATTCCCTAGATTTCTCGATTATCTGTCTTATATTCAGCAGCTGTTCTCGAGTGCCTCTACCTTTGGTAAATCCAGTTTGCTCTTGTGGAATTTCTCTTTGAAGGAATGTTTTCAGTCTCTCATTGATTATATGTAGCATTATCTTGCTAGCATAGGATATAAGAGAGATAGTTCTATAATTGTCGCATTTATGGAAGCTGCCTTTATAATATGGGTTATTTTTGGGTAAATTAATGCATATTTTTCACTTTTTTTGCATATTTGCCTAACTCTAGTGATAACTTACCTTGCAGTAATTCTAAAGCTTCCTCGGCACTGGATCTATCATCGAAATGAACAAACCCATATCTCAGTGTCTTGTATACACGATTGATGCGACCACCAATCCAGAGGCCAACTTTCGAAAGTACTTCACGTTTAACATCCCGACAACTTACTTCAGAGGGTATGTTACTTAAATATAAATTGGTCACCTGTAAAAAAAAAGACGATTATTAGAATTGAATGATGATTGATGATGATCCAACAAATTGCTTACAAGATATAGGGAAAGTATCCGAAATTGTACCGGCGCCAATATTGTACCTACCACCGCTCAATTTATACTTGATGAGGAATCCAGACCGCTGTTATGTCGTTTAGTCAAACTAGTCATTTCCCAGAGTTTAGTGCTGAAGTTTCACAACGTTCACATTTATTGTCGATTTTGTTTTATCGAATTTTTTGTATTTCATGGTGTTTCAGTATAGTTTTCTAGTTCCATACATAAGGTTACATTACAAGATCTGTAAAGGTACGTGCAAACCATTTTTATTCATAATTACAAGAGAAGCACATATTTGGTGTATAAAACTGGGTTGTTTCCCTTTGCCGGGCCATTTTCAGGTTAGGAATCGTCATTTATTTACGTAAAGTGCGAGTTTCCCATATTGTACCATGCCGAGTTACCTATATTGTACCGGTACAATTTTAGATACCACCTATTATTTGTGTATTTAGTACCTACTTATTTTCAAAATAAATAAACAAATAAATAACACACACCGTTGTGTGTTTTAGATGCCCAAAGGAAAATATGGGAATTGGAACGTGGACGACATGAGCCGGGCTCTTCAAACATTTCGTAATGGAGACATGGGATTAAATGAATGTTGTTGTAGGTATATTTAGTCCCTAAACCTACCTTGCCCCGTCATCTTAGGGGGACCAACATCAAGGCAAATGAAGAAACGAAGGCTTTTGGCCGTGGCAGTGTGTTACTAACAGCAGTGAAGAGCTTGTTGATCACATTTTAAAACTGGAGACGTTGATGTTTGGCCTCACGATTAATGATGTTTGACGGCTTGCATTTAAAATAGTGGAGAGAATATAAATACCACATAATTTTATTAAAGAATTACAAATGGCAGGAAAGAAGTGGTTTTATGCTTCAAAGATCGTCAGAAGGACATAATCTCACTGAGAGAACATCAAACAACGTCCATGATACGCGTAAAAGGATTCAACAAAAGGAATGTTTACGTCTTTTTCGACCTTCTGGAAAAAATTGTTGATGAGAATCAATATGAGAACGTGTAGTCAACACGACAGTTGTTTGCTGTCTGCGTGCTTTAGGAATTTACGTATCACCTATGCTTATATTTAAGCGTATGCGAATGAACAATGGTTTGAGGGTTGGAGCTCCACCAGGGAGTATGATTGAGATATCAGAAACAGGCTACATCAGCAGTGACCCCTTTGTTAAATGACTCCAGCATTTTATTGATTCTGTAAACCCAACAATAGAAAAAAAGTTCTTTTGGTACTGGATGGACATACATCGCACTCCAAGAATCTTGAAGCTATTTTACTTGCTAGAGAGCACGGTGTAGTTGCTAAAATTGCCTAGGCATACGACCCATCGCGTGCAGCCTTTGGATAGATCATTCTTTAAACCTTTCAAAGGATACTACACTCAATCAGTTGAAAAGTGGCTTCGTTCTAACCCCAGATTGTGTTACACAACTTCACGTAGCTGGCTTAATTTCTAAAGCTTATGGAGAGCAGAAAGCATTGCAATTGCAGTCAATGGTTTCCGAACTAGTGGAGTATGCTCTGTTGATCGCATAGTCTTCAAAGATCATGACTTTCGTGCTACTGAAAATTTAAATGACCATGAAGGCAGTGAAATTCGGGAAGATGGTGAAAATGAAAAGCCTAATAAGACAACCCAAGGAACCACTCTGGTATACAACAGAAGCTAATGTAGAGCACGAAATAATCTGGCCTGAACTACCTGGTCCTAAAGAGAGTTTAGCTACGGCTACTACACCGACTAGGCCTACTAAAAAAACTTGCGAAGCAAATCCAAAACTTAACATTTCAATAGATTCAATTTTCCCGATACCGAAGCTCCATCCAAAATCCAAGAAGGGAATAGCACAACAGACAACGGTTTTTGCGGGAAGTCTCTATAAAAATAAATTAAAATTAGGTAAACAGCTATAGTTAGCGCAGAAACTTCTTCTTCTTTCTATGCCGTCCCCATTAACGGAGGTTGGCGACCACATTTTTAAAAGCTTCTCTGTCTTTTACAACGTGGAATAATTCGTCTACAGTCATGTTTGTCCAGTCTCGAATATTTCGCAGCCATGACTTCCTCTTTCTACCTATTCCCTTTTTGCCATCGACTCTACCCTGCATGATGATCTGCAGAAGACTATATTTATTATTTCTTAGTATGTGTCCAAGGTATGCAGTCTTGCGTACTTTTATCGTTCTCATCAATTTTTTGACTCGACCCATTCTTCTCAGCACTTCCTCATTGGTGACCCTGGCAGTCCATGGGATTCTCAACATTCTCCGATACATCCAAAGTTCAAAGGCTTTAATCTTTTTAACTATTTGCGCTTTTAGTGTCCATGTTTCTACCCTGTACAATAATTGCGACCAGACGTAACATTCAACAAACCTCAGTCTCAGCGCAATATTCAGATTTTTGTCACAGAACAATTGTTTGAATTTTAAGAACGCTGCCCTTGCCATTTCTATTCGTACCCGGATCTCTTGGTCTGGATCTAATTCTGTGTTGATGTAAGCTCCCAGATATTTATATTTTGTCACTCTCTCTATTTGCTGTCCACCAAGAGTTAGTTGTTCATTATTTACTGGACTCCTTGATACTATCTTAAATTTGGTTTTATCTGTGTTGATGTCAAGTCCCATTTGAATGCATTCACTATTTATTGTATCTAGTAAAGTTTGTAGATCTTCTATAGATACTCTCAGCCATAATTACCGTGTCATCTGCAAATCTTATGGTGTTTATGATTTCTCCACCAATTCTTATTCCCTCTTTTCTTTCCCAGCGCAGAAACAGGTAAAACAAATAATAATGAAATTGGGGAAGGCTAAACCGAAATCGTCCAAGAAACTTGTAAATGCTCCAAAAATAAACCTAGAAGGAAAATCTAGTCTTAAAAGGAACAAAGAATCTGTCAAGAAGAACTTGTCAGACAAAAAAATGTGAAAATCCTACAAAGTCTGTTCTTCTAAATGCTGCGTCAAACTCAAATTAACCTGACGTTATTATAGAGATGTGTGTTGATGAGTGGTTATGTTCAATTTTCGAGGAAAAAAGAATTGAAGACATGATCCAATGTACCAAATGCCGTTCATGGAGCCACGAACTTCGTGCAGGAGTCCAACCAGGAACCCAAACTTTTTCTTGCTTTGAATGTAAATAAAAATCTATGTAAATAATTTCTGATATTGGAAAATAAATTTTTATTAAACAAAACATGATTAATGGTATTCACATTTAAACAATATTCACACAAAAATACAATAAAATTTATTATATTATACACTGATCCTTCTATATAGGCTACTAAGGGTACAATTCAGAAAACCAATGGTAGGTACAAAAAAGGTAAATAGTTTTCTAAATTGCACCCCTTGCAACCTACCAGAAAAGCATGTTTTTTTAACAGTAAAATCAATGATATCAAGTTACAAAAATTATTATATGTGGGTAAATGTTTATTAATTATCCTAATATATCGTTCAGTTTAATATGACATATATTATTCAAAAGTCACATGTGGGAGAAGGCTGGAAGAAAAAGAGAAATCGAACAATAAAAAGAAGAGAAAGTACAATATTGAAAAACTTAAGGAAGTAGAAATAAAAAATAAATATGAAGAAGAAATAAATAAAATTCTACAACAATGTGACCAAAATTTACAGACAGATCAAGCCTGGAAACAAATTAAAACTGCCGTAGGAGAAGCTAGCGAGAAAATAGTTAAGTGCGACTCCAAGAGAAGTACAAACAAAGATTGGTTTGACGAAGAGTGTCAAGCGATAGCAAAGGAAAAGAAGAAGATCAGACAACAAATATTAACAGATAATAGACAGTGTAAAAAACAAGAATATAGAATTGTTCGAGGAAGATTGAAAGCTCTGTGTAGAAGGAAAAAGAGAAACCACAGTGAGTTGAAATTAACAGAGGTAGAAGAGAAGTTTAAAAACAAAGAGGTAAGGTCGTTCTATCAAGAAGTTAAAAAGATAGGAAAAGGTTAACAAAGCCACTGTAGGTATATGAAAGGTAAAGACGGAAATTTAATTAGCGATCCGGCAGAAATAATGACGGAATAGAAAAAACATTTTGAAGAATTATTAATAAATGGTGAGGAGGACCACGAAGCAGTAGACAACTGAACAGTTGGAGAAGATGCGATAGTTGAAAGGCAGCCTACAGAGGATGAGGTGGTGACAGCAATACAAGAGATGAAAAATAACAGTCCTGGTAAAAATGACATATACATCAAAATGATCAAGTTTGGTGGAGAACAACTATATATCAGCTACTAGTGCAAGTATGGGGAAAGGAAGTAATGCCATCGGAGTGGTATGAGGCCCGCATATGCCCTCTGCATAAAAAAGGAAACAAACTGAAGTGTGACAACTATAGAGGTATAGCCTTATTAGACACGGTATACAAAATCTTGGCAAGAATATTGAGAAATAAACTAAATTGCTACACGGAAAGAATCCTGCATGACTATCAGGCCGGCTTTAGAAAAGACAGATCTACTGTAGACCAAATCTTCTCATTAAAGAAGATACAAACGACTTGATATGAAGGTAAAGTTCCCCTACATGTTTTGTTTGTGAATTTTAGACAAGCATAGGATATAGTCGATAGAGTCAAAATGTACGGGTATACCAAAGAAACTGATCCGGCTAGATAAAATGACACTTTATAACTCTACGTGTGAAATTGCGTGGCAGGGTCACATATCAGATCAATTTAGGGTTGCACAAGGCTTGAAAGAGAGATCCTTCTACATTATTCAACTTAGTGTTACAAACTGTAATTAGAAAATGCAGCATGAAGGTGGAAGAAACGATCATGAAAAATGAGCACCAGTGCTTGGCATTTGCTGACGATCTAACGAAGCAAAAACCGAGAAAGAATTTAGAAGAGTTG